TCGGTTGGGCAGCTGGCTAGGGTGGTGCAGAATCCATCAGAGGAGCAGGTGGATGCAGCTGAGCGTGTGGTGAAGTATTTGAACTCTCACCCAAGCATTGGAGTTCAATACTCCGAATCTGCACAGGTGAAGCAGAAAGGGATTGAGGTGCTGAAAGAGAAAAGGGAGAGGCTTGGAGAAGGCAAGCTCTTTCTCACTTGCTTTACTGATGCTACGTGGGCCTCTGAGAAGGAGGATTCCTCATCTGTGGGAGGATACATCTGCGTAGTTGGGGGAGGACCGGTTAGTCGGAGGTCAAAGAAGCAGACGGAGACAGCACTCTCTTCTGTGGAATCAGAGTGCATGGCGATGTTCCATGGGGTGAAGGAGGTAATTTGGTTGAGGAGGCTGTTGGAGGAGATTGGCCAGGAGCAAAAGGTTGCTATGCCGCTGTTTTGTGATAGCAAGGGGGCTTTTCGGATGGCCAGGAACGCTGTGCTTCATGGGCTCAATAAGCACATGCGTATCAAGTGGCACTGGCTGCGTAACGAGGTGAAGAGTGGGACAGTGAATCCGATCTACATCAAGAGTCACCAGCAGCCAGCAGACTTCCTCACCAAGAGGCTTGCGGATGAGCCTCATTGGCGTTGTGTGCGCATGAGTGGAATGAGCATGAACTAGTATGGAATGATGGGGATGCAGCCGGCAGGCTGAGGGGGAGTGTGTTGGGTGCAAATACACATTGCACGACATCGTGCCATCTGTTTGTATGAGTATGCATGTGCGAATGCATTTGGGTGTGAATGGTATGTTCGTGTGTTTGTTTGCTTTCGCAATTTTCGCTTGAAGCATTTGTAGGTACTCGCGCATTATGCACTTCGGCACTACATTGTACGCGCTATGAACAGTACAAGCAGAAAGAACGAGCTTGTAAAGGAACCCAAGATGGAAGCTTTGCGGTTCAACTTACTTGATTACGCAGATTCAGTTCTATCCAACTCGAAATTGTACTGTTTTGTTTGGTTGACTATAGTGTAGCAGGGCAGGCACTATAGGGGTACAATTTAGGTGAAGGTTGGATGTTGTTTGTCTGTATCTGCTTGCTACAGGGCCAGGGGAAACCAGCAGAACCAGCATTTGGCTGGTTGGGCAAAGACAAAACAGGTTTTGTTTTTAGGACCTGAACCTGGTTGTTGTTTTCCCAGGTTGGAAAAACAGAACCAAAGGTTGTTTACCAACCTACCACCTGCTGTTTTGTCCAGCCAGGTTGGTTTTGTTGCTTGGATTTATTTAGGATCATCCCTAGTTGTTCCCAGGTTTATTCCCAAGGTCCTTGCTAGCTAGAACTATATATTCCTTCTCTGTTTGTACCTGAATATAGTCAATTTGATTCAAGCAAATTCCTCCCTTCCTAGAATTTCGTTTCTACGCGGTGCGACGGCGGAATGCTACCCGAGTCAACGCTAGTACGCTAGCACTCCAACGCTAGGCAAACGCTGTCCGAGCCATAACTTCGTAATGGCAGATTTTTTCGCGAGGCAACTTGGCTTATTTTAAAGCTCTTCGAGTGAGCTTCGATATAGGAAATTCTCAGCTTAATCCGGTCAACGGTCTGCACGATACGCTGCGCGACGTTCAAGGTACTCTTGCTGTTTTGACTAAGTCCCTCTTGATCCCTCTCTCTACAAACTTGGACCCGAGGATAGGGGCTGGTCTTGTACCAGGCACCAAAGGACCCTTGGAGGTGACTCGAGGAGAGGTTTTAAGTGTGATAAAGTCTTAATAGCTTGAGTTTTTTAGGCCCTTACACCAACAGGCCCCTACACCAACACGCTTCAGCTCTCAGACAGTGCCTGGAGGGAAGGGGTGAGGAAAGCCAGTGGGGCGCGCAAGGAAAATGCGCTCATGAAGCTCGCCCTGGAGAAAGGCATTGGAGACATCCATAGAGTGAATCTCCCAATCCCATCGAGCACCTAGATCAAGAAGGAGGCGAAGAGTGGGGAGACGGGCAGTGGGGGAGTAAGTGGTAAAGTAGTCAATGCCTTCACGTTGGGTGAACCCTTTGGCGCAGTAACGGGCTTTGAAGACAGGAAGCTCCCCAAGCAGCTGTTTGACACGAAAGACCCATTTGTCCTTGACAATGGTGGCGCTAGGGGAGGGGACATAGTCAACGTAAGATTGAGTTCTGGTGAATGCCTGACACTCGGCAATGACGGCAGCCATCCACTCAGTTGCATGAAAGCCAGACAGTGCCTCGGAATAAGTGTGAGGGGTGGGAATAGCGGCGGTGTGAATGGAGAGAAGAGTGGGAGAATTGGAGAAGTCGCCAATGGTGACACAGAGGAGGGGTGAAATGGGATGAATAGAGAACAGCTCTTCAAATCGATCCTTGAGAAGATCGACGTTTGGAGAGGGAGAGAGACGAGTCAAGAGAGCAGAGTGTTGAAAATTAGACATGGCACGTGTCATGGAGCGGGTGAGACGCGAAGAAGGTGGGGGAGCAGGAGCAGGAGGGAGAGGAGAAGGATGTTGTGAAGGAGAGGGCATGGGAGCCGAAGAGGAAGAGGCAGGAGGAGAGGGGCCAGAGATGACAGCAGAGGGAGGGGTGGAGGGGGCAGGGAGGGGAGGTGGAGCAAGGGCAGGAGGGAGGGGAGAAGGAGGGAGAGCAGCAGATCAAAGTCAGACAAATTAAGAGAGGGAGGAGGAGGGGTGGGAGGTGGGGTGAGGAAAGGGGAACGAGTCTCATCAAAGATACAATCCTGGCTGCGAATGAGCTGCTGAGAGGAGGGAGCATAGAAAGGATAGCCAGGACAGTGAGAGTTGATGCCAATGAACGCACAGAGCTGCGTCTTGGGAGCAAGCTTCCCACCCTAACGTGCTCGATCGGCGGGATTGATGAGGACATGGGCAACACAGCCCCAGACCTGAAGAGGGCGGGCGGAGGGCTGGCGGCCAGTCCAGAGCTGGAAGGGTATAATGGAAGGGCGAAGGGGATGAGGGCGAAGGTTGGAAAGAAGAGTGGCATGAAGAAGAGCATAGCTCCAAAGTAAGTATGGAGCAGAGGCATGAGTAAGGAGACAGCGGGTGATCTCCATGAGAGTGCAAATACGACGCTTGGCAATACCATTCTGTTCAGGAGAATGCGTAAGGGTGGAGGTTTGGCGAATGCCATGAGAGGAGCAGTAAGAAGAGAGAGAGTGGTTAAAGAACTCGCCACCACCATCAGAGTGGAGGCGTGCGACAGGACGGCCAAAGCAAAGGCGCGCCTGCTCAGCCCAGCGAATGATGAGAGAGGGGGCGTCAGATTTGGCACGGAGGGGATAGACGGCGGCAAACGGAGAGTGGCCATCGACAAGAAGGAGAAAGTAACAATGACCTTGACGGGAGGCAATGGGAGAGAGACCCCAGAGGTCCATATGCACAAGATCAAGGGGTTTGGGGGAGGCAGAAGGGGAAGAGGGATGAGGAGATTGGGAGAGCTTGGCTTGAACACAAGGGGTGCATGGAGGAGCGGGGGAGGGGGGAAGGGGCGGGAGAGAGGAAGGGAGATCATGAAGCAGCTTCAAATTGACCATGCTGTGAAGGAGAGGGAAGTTGGGGTGGCCAAAGCGATGATGGAGAAGAAGGGTATGTTGGGTGAGAGAGCGACAGTCGTAAGAGGAGATGGGAAAGGCAGAAGAAGAGGAAGTGTGATTGATAGATGAAAGGATGGGAACACAAAGGGTGTAGAGGTGAGTAGTAGGAGAAAGGGTGAAACGAGCGAGGTGCCGATCGTGGTAATGAAGATCACAATAGAGTTTGCGTGCGGGGAAAAACGCTTGCACACCCAGCCGTTGGAGGGCAGGGAAGGAAAGGAGGTTATGACGGCAAGAGGGAACATAGAGTCCCGTAACAGCACCAGAGGGAGAGGCAGGACAGGGAAGAGAGGAAGTGCCAGTGCAGATCATGGTCATGGTTTTCCCAGCCCCATTGATAGAGAGGGGACGAGGAAAATTGCGAAGGACTCCGGCATCACGAAAGACAGAGTCAGTAGCAGCACTATCAAGGACAAAATCCAAGGTGCGAGGAAGTGAGAGAGAGGCAGCCGTAGGGCTGGGAGAGTGGGAGACAGTGCTGGGAACAGGTGGAGAAAGTGGAACAACAAAACGAGGGTCCATGAGCGGAGAAGCACCAAGGATGCTATCCAGGGATGGCATGGTTGTTGGTGCAACCCTACGGTTTGCACTCGGCTTGTTGTCCGTGTGCGTGCATGTGTGTGTGTATGGAATGGTATGAGGACATGGGATAATATATATTTCATGCTTATAATTGTGTGTGAATGTTGAGTCATGATGTCGAGTGTGTGTGTCGAGTCAATAGCGAGTTATCGCTAGACGCGTGTTATGCGGTCATTTGTGTCTCGCGCGCGGTTTCTATTTTTGTCGTGCGCGGTTTCTATTTTGTCCTGTGTCGAACGTTCGGTGTGTCGCAGGTGTGTGCAGCAGACCCATCAAGAACCTAAGGATGAGTTTGTGATGAAGAGCCCGAGCCTTGGTGTCAAGCCTCAAGTGATTTCGAAGCTCGCCAAAAGGGTACACCTCAAGATATTGAAGATAGTTACATTACTTTGTGTAGTGTAACATTTCACTTGGTGTAGGCCCTAGTGAAGGGTAGTTTCGAGACCCTTTGTGGTTGGGGACAGTGTGGCACTGTTCCACATCACTGTACCTCGGCTCTTGGGGTTTGTAGGAGCTGGGAGTCATTCCCAACTCGTAACTCTTCATTTTGTGTTCTAAGACTATAGTGGCTGCCATAGTGCCGTTCGTTCAAACCGACACTTTGTCCTCAATACTTGGTGAAATTGTGCGATCTAAATTGCCTATTGTAGGCGACGTTCAGGCGCTCCAGATCCAAGTTGAATCAGGTCATTTGAAGTTGTGACCAGAACGCTATGAACGTTTGAAGCCGCTGTGCAGAAATCCGACTGTGCACTCTATCTTTCGTTTTAGGCACATTGGAGCCTATTGTGACTATAACAATGGTTACATTGAAGACAGAGGCCAGAGAACCAATACCAGAGGTGACAGCGGCACAAGAGTGGCGACAGTGATGGGATAGCGGAACCCAAGCAGAGGGGCGGAGAAGAGGGGAGGTCCATAGGCAAGTAGGAGAGGTGCAAGGGGAGGAAGGGGCAGCGAAGGGAGCGGAGATGAGGAAAGGCAAGGGTAGGAGAGGAGGTACGGCAGGAGACGGGTGAGGGCGGAAGCGCAGAGGAGGAGAGGTAAGAACGAGAATAGGCCCCATCGGGGGAAGGGGGTAGCAATGGAGCAGATGTGGGGAGATAAAAGAGGAGGAGGAATATGGACGAGGTAGTCAGCTGCTGAGCCGTTGAGGGGAGAAATAAGAGGAGGGATAACGGCGGAGTAGTCTGCTGCTGCGCCGCTGAGGGGAGAAATAAGAGGAGGAGGGATAATGGCGGAGTAGTCTGCTGCTGCGCCGCTGAGGGGAGAAATAAGAGGAGGGATAATGGCGGAATAGTCTGTTGCTGCGCCGGTGGGGGGAGAAATAAGAGGAGGGATAATGGCGGAGTAGTCTGCTGCTGCGCCGCTGTGGGGAGAAATAAGAGGAGGGATAACAGTGGAGTAGTCTGTTGCTGCGCCGCTGAGGGGAGAAAATAGAGGCGGAGGAACACAGTGGGGAAGGAGCACGGCTACGAAGCAAGGCTGGCAACCAACTGCAGTAGTAGAGGAGAAGAGAGAGGCGGAGGAGAGAATGAGATGGGGAGGGGAATGAAGGGAGAGAAGAGAGGAGGAGGGTGAAGGGGTGGATGGAGAGAAGGGGTAGGTCTTGATGAGCAAAATGACAAAGCAAAGCCGGCAACCAGCTGCAGCAGTAGACGAGAGAAGAGAGGCGGAGGAGAGAGTGCGATGGGGAGGGGAATGAAGGGAGAGAAGAGAGGAGGAGGAGGAGGAGGGAGAAGGGGCGGATGGTGTGGAAGGGTAGTAGAGAAGGAGAGGAAATAGGAGGAGGAAGAAGTAAGGCGGTGCTTCAAGCGCAAAGGAGAGTGGAAAGGAGGAGGGTGAGGGAGGGGGGGAAGGAGGGGGGGACGGATTGAGGAAGGGGAGAGCACGGCGGGAGGAGAGGAGGCGCTCGCGAGTGGAAGGGCAGCCACAAGGAGGGCAGCCACGTGGGGCAGGGCGGGCGCAACCAGGGGGAAGCAGAGCGCGCATGGGCACAAAGCAGGGCGCACGCGAGGCCGGGCGCACGACGGCGAAACCAGGGCGCGCGGGGCGAAAATAAGGCGCGCGTGGCGAAAATAAGGCACGCGCGGCGACGAAGCAGGGTGCGCGCGATGAACGGCAGGGCGCGCGCATCGACGGTGGTAGGGGAAGGGCGGGGGCGCGGGGCGCGACGGCTTTAGGGGTCGCGCGGCTGCCTAAGGGGGGAATCCATGACTAAAAGAAAAGAAAAAAAAGGTCGAGATTGATAGGAAAGAGTGATTTAGCGGGTGCCTAAGGGTGCCTAAGCGTCTAAGCATTTTTAAGAGATGTGAAAAATGAAGATTTGCCTAGGATTAGGCTCTAGATACCATGTTAAGAGAGTACTTGGAGCCATGGCTAAAGAGGATGGTTGAAGTAATAGACTAACAAGAATGTCGAGATACAAATGTAGGAAACCCTAAATGAAGGGTGTGTTCAATTTGCGCTAGAAACTAAGAAGTGAACCTAAACTGAACCGAAAGTGTATCTCGCTCTAGACATGGCGAAATGAGAAAAGAACACCATGATAAATGCCAGACCGAGCTCTAGCCTACTCCAACACCTTCTCCTCCTGAGTCAGCCTTCACTCCTTCCCTCTCTACTCCTGTTACTGACTACTACCGCACGTACCGTCCTGTTCTCCCTCGTGTTCTCGCCTCTCTCGTTACGGACCCTCGAGCCTCTCTGTCCTCTATCTCCGCCCTTACTATCGCCGTCACTGAGTTTGCCACTACTCGCTACCTTGACTACGCCACTTGTCTCGTGGCTGCTCCTCCTACCAGTCCTCTGGCCGTCGGGGGTGAGTCTGCCCTTGGCTGTGACGCCCTACAGGACACGTAGATTGAGCTACAGTTCCTGGCAGCCGCTTCCCCTCATCTCTGTGCCATGTGCTCGCTCCAGAGGGAGACCCCGACGCCCTTGACATACCGACTCCTCGCACTTACGCACAGGCAGTGTCAGGGCCTCGGGCCTCTCAGCGAAGAGCTGCCATGGACTCAGAGATGGCCTCCTACAGATCCACAAGCACCTATGTCGACGAGGTTCCCCCCCCTGGGGCGAACGTAGTCAATGGCATGCGGATCTTCAGGGTGAAGCGGCCACCGGGATCTCCTCCGGTCTTCAAGGCGTGCTATGTGGCTAGAGGTTTCAGTCAGCGCGAGGGAGTTGATTTCTCTCACACCTTCGCGCCCACCCCGAAGATGACCACTCTTCTGGTGTTACTGCACAAAGCAGCACATAGAGACTACGCGTTAGACACTCTTAAATTCTCTACTGCCTTCCTTCAAGGTAGCCTACACGATGAGGTCTGGTTGCGTCGTCCCTCTACCTTCACTGGCACTTTCCTCCTGGGACCCAGTGGAGGCTAAGGCGACCAGTCTACGGTCTCCGTCAGGCTCCTCGTGAGTGGCACGATACCCTTCGTTCTACTCTCTCTAACTTGGGTTTCCAGCCGTCTTCTACCGACCCGTCGCTGTTCGTCCATCATGGTTCCGCACCTTTCTTTGTTGTGGTCTACGTCAACGACCTGGTATTCGCCACTGTTGACAAAGTTGCCTTGGCAGATATGAAGTCCAAACTGCAGAAGAGACACACGTGCACTGACCTTGGTGACGTGCGCTACTACCTTGGCCTGCAGATCACCAGGGACAGAGCTGCTCACACCATTATACTCTCACAGTCACACATGGTGCAGCAGGTTCTTCAGCGCTTCGAGATTCAGCACTCCACAGTACAGCGCACACCTCTTGCTGTCGACCACAGACTTACTGGACCCTTTCCTGACGAGCCGTTTGAGTCTAGTGGTCCCTACGCAGAGCTGGTGGGCTGCCTCATGTACCTGATGACTTGTACTCGCCCAGACCTCGCCTTCCCTCTCAGCATCCTTGCTCGCTTTGTTGCACCAGGGAGACACCGTCCTGTTCACTGGACGGCGGCTGTGAGGGTGGCCAAGTACCTAGCGATGACATCAAGCGTGGGGCTAGTTCTTGTACATAAGGTTCTATGAGTGAATGTACTTGTGAATGTAAGTTCGCGCACATGTCCGGCACCCACTTATCTTGCGAGCAAGAATGTTGAGACGGTACGCAAGATCAGGTCATGTGCACGTCACCAGGTACATGAGGCAGCCCACAAGCTCTGGATAGGAGCCACTCGGCTCTACGGACTCGCCTGAAGGTGGAGCTAAGAGCACGTGGCCAGTAGGCAGAGGAGTGGACTGTGGCGAGGAGAACTGAAAGCCGAAGCGCTGAAGGACCTCGTGCACCATGTCTGACTGAGTCAGAGTGATGGTGCATTGTGCTCTGTCCCGGGTGATCTACAGGCCAGGATAGCTACGCAGCTCACGCAGGTCAGTGCAAGTATGTCTCTTCAGTAAGAATCGGCGCCTTAGTTCTGGCAGTAGCAAAGACCAAGTCGTCGACGTATACAAGGATGTAGAACGGTGGGAGAGAAGGGTCGGTGCGCAGAAACAGCAACGGGTTAGCTAGTAGAAGGATCAAACCCAAGAGCCGCAAGTGTCGTCCTCAGTGTGTCGTGCCACTCGCGAGGCGCCTGGCGGAGTCCGTAGACTGGCTGCCGGAGGCTCCTCTTGGTACCCTCAGGAAACGACCTAGTGAAGCTAGGTGGGTGGCGCAAACAGATCTCCTCGTGAAGGCTGCCCTGCAAGAAAGCTATAGAGAAGTCGAATGAGTGCAGCTCGTAGTCACGCAATGCTACAATGTGCAGCAACCCCCGAAGAGTAGTCATCTTCGGGGTGGGGGAGAAGGTCTGGAAGAAGTCGACCCCCTGTCACTGACTGAAGCCTCAAGCATCGTAACGCGCCTTGAAGGCAGGCGGAGAACCCGGCAACCGCTTCACTATGAAAATCCACATGACATCGACTATGTTCGCCCCATGAGGGGGAACCTCGGCCACGTAGGTGCCTGTGGACTTCCAGGAAGCCATCTCTGCGTCCATGGCTGTTTGTCACTGAAATGAAGACTCACCTGTGATCGCCTCTGCGTAAGAGCGCGAGGTGGGGATGTCAAGTGCATCCGGGTCTCCCTCAGGGCAAAGCAGCATGGATGCGAGACGGGGTAAAGCGGCCACGAGACACTCAAGCTCAAACTGCCTGTTTTCAAGGGCATCACTGCTAAGGGCAAGCTCGCCCCTGATGGACGGACCACAGACGGACTCAGAATCAGTAACAAGACTCGCAACTTAGTCAAGACAACGGGTAGCAGCAAAGTCGACTAGCTCAGTGACTAGGGCAAACGCAGCACTAGACTCAAAGGAAGGGTGAGTCACAAAAGTGGCGCGGAGACGAGTGGCAGTAGGACTGGCAGCACAAGCAAGGTCGGACTCAGGGACAGGAACATCGAGAAGAGAGGACATTGGAGGAGATGGCAGGGCAACACGCTGTGGAACAAAGGAAGGACGAAGTGCCATCGTGTGCGTGCCGGGGACAGGTGGAGGACGAACACGAGTGACAGTGCAAACTGGGTGAGGCAGGACGAGACTCAGGCTTACGACGCTCTTCAAGTGAGCTTGGAGATGGAGCGGGCAGTGGGGAGCCAGGCAGTAATAGTGGCTATGTCTGGTCAAGCGGAAGACACTGGAGATGCTAAGTAAGGCCAGTGGAAGACAGAAGACTAAGAACCTGGCGAAATGCTGAGAAAGGCGGTGGCAGGGACGATTGCGGCTGCAGGTAGAAAAACAGTCATCGCGGCGCAGTACTCGTTCCGCCAGTAGCTCCAGCACCCCCATCTCCAGTACCTCCAGCACCTCCAGCTCCAGCACCTCCAACACCAGCAGGACCAGTACCTCCAGTACCTCTAGCTCCAGCACCTCCAGCACCACTAGCTCCACAACCTCCAGCATCTGTACCTCCAGCACCTCTAGTTTTAGTACCTTTAGTACCAACAGCTCTAGTACCTCCAGTACCTCCAGCTCCAGCACCTCCAGCACCAGTACGTCCAGCTCCTCCAGCTCCAGCACCACCAGCACCTCCAGCTCTAGTAGCCCCAGCACCTCCAGCTCTAGCACGGCTAGCTCCACCACCAGGGCTGCCCCACTGGACAGCCTACCCACGAAGCTGCTCCAACGAGAGAGTCTCCTGCTGACGTGCACCAGTACCGCCAGCACTAGCATTTCCAGCACCAAGACGTTTAGCACCTCCAACTCCAGTACCACCAGCACCAGCACCTCCAGCTCCTATAGCCCCAGCACCTCCAGCTCGAGCACGGCTAGCTCCACCACCAGGGCTGCCTCACCAGACATTCCACTCGCGAAGCCGCTCGGGCGAGAGAGTCTCTTGCCAACGTGCACCAGTACCGCTAGCACTAGCGTCTCCAGCACCAGCACCTCCAGCACCTCTTGCACCCGTAGGACACTCAGCACCCCCAGAACCAGCACCCTCAGAGACCGCATCCCCGGTGTCACCACCTACAGCAGCACCAGATTCCAAAGCGACGGGCTGCAGAGGCGGTGAAGATGGCTGAGGCGGAAACCCAGGAGGAATCGCTAAGCGTGCTGAGCGGCCAGGGGCCATGGTGTCGGCAGCAGTCGGGTCACCCCCCTCAGCTGGGCCAGAGGTGTCAGAGGAGACCTCCAAAGGCTCAACCAAGGAGGTTGGGTCTACCTGAGACACACTTGAGGGAGCAGGACCCTAAGGAGGGAGGGGGGCTACCCGGGGGGGGGGGGGGGGGGCAAGTAAAAGGAAGAGGCGGGAGGGGCACAAGCGAACTGTGGTGGGGGTGGAGACGGTAGAAGCAGAAAAACTTGTCAAAGGTGATGTCCTGGGACGAGAGGACACGACGAGAACTAGGGTGGTAAAACTGCCAGGGCAGGGCGTTGGTAGGGAAGCCAAGGAAGACGCAGCGAAGAGTGCGAGGAGAGAGCTTGCCCGCGAAAAGTTCGCGTACAAGAGCAAGTGAACCCCAGAGGACTAGCGTGCTAAGGGCATCCACGCTTCCCTCAGCACCACAAAGCCCTCGAGGATGTGGGAGCAACTCACCGCCTTGGTTAGAGTGCAGCGGCAGGACCAGGATGTCCTGCCGGAACCGAGCGCTGAGCTGGCGACGGACATCACGGATCCAACGGATCAATACACTGTGGACATCCGTTTGCTCTGCAAGGGGAAGACCGTGATGTAGCACGTGTAGTCGTCAACAAAAAAAAAAAAAGTAGCGCTCTCCGCCATGTCTAGTGATGTGGGCTGAACCCCACACGTCTATGTGGAGGGTCTGAAGAGGAGCTGTGGTCGGAGGAAACGAGGAGTGAGGAGCGGCGCGCTGCCGCCCCTAAACGCAGGGAAGGCACTGCAGCACAAGTGACCTCGGAAGCGGGGGCAGGGACCTGGGGAAGCCAGACACAAGA